CAATTATTTAAGAGATAATGCTTCCCAACTTCTTCTTTGTCATCTGCATTACTTCCACATCTTACTACTTCTTAAGCCAAAATTTTAAACACAAATATATTTGAAATAGGCATTTTATGTGAAACTATTTGGCTGTGGGAGGCTTTCAGAAGAGGGAGAAGTTTATCATTTGAGGATGTTGACATGAATTCATAATATGCATGTATAAGATGTCTAGGGAAATAATCAAATCTTAATTAGCCCAAGAAATACATTTCAGAACAATTCTGGAAGAGTAAAGGTTAATATACAGTATTTGAATATAAAATGTAATGGTTTCAGTTTACCAAATCATTTCTGTCACCTTAATAAAATCTATAAGGATATGATTATGCTGCATTATTATGCTAAAGTTTTTCATAAGATCTTCTGATAAAAACCATTTAGAAATGAATTGCTATCTCAGTATTATCTTTAGACTGATTAAGTTTATGTTTAAGTTGTAACCCACATCTCTTGAGATTGCATTTGGATTAGAATATTTTATTATGAAACTAGAAAAAAAAAGTATTGAAGCTAGAAGTGATCTTGTAATTTTCCTATCCTTACCCTGAACAAGGTGAATAGAAAAGCAAGCACATATATTTTGTAATCAAGTGATATTGGCTGTTTCCCTAGTTCTATCACCTACTTGTGGATTTTCTATTAAGTAGAAATAAACTAAACCATTAAACACTTAAAATAAAATAGTTAATTAGATTAAATGCTTTAAATATTTTGATTAAGTTCCTACTGAATTAAATATCCCAATAGAATGTAAGCTCCATCCAAGGAGGAATTTTTATGTTTTTCAGAGCCTGGAAATAATGTCTGAAACAAATAGGTACTCTATAAAATCTTTTTAGTTTAGTGAATTTAATAAATCAATAACTTTGAAAAAATAAACCACTTAACATGAAACCTGTACTAACTACAATTCAATTTTTAATAATTCAATTTTTAATAATAAGTCACTATTGAAACTACCACATATCCTTACATCATTAAAGTGTTTTAATTTTGCGCTGCAAGCTTATTTTTCGGGTTATCATTTTATGGGTTTATTGGGATATAATCTCTGCTTTAAAAATTTTAAAGACTGGAAGCTTACTATGTATTTGTTTAAACTTAGACTTTTTATTAATGCTGAGACCATTCCTCTGTGATTCATGGGAGAAGATCAAGAAATATGACTTAATTATTACAGGTAGCAATATTTTGGCAGCAAACTGTCAAATAAATTTACTCATTAATCTACCCAAGCACCATCTATCCATAATGGAAGCTGGAAAGTTGGATGAACTAGGAAGCAGAGGTGTAGAGTGGTTTGATAAAGTCCGCCTATTTAATATTTATTGGGCATCCTCAGTGTGCCTGCCAAATATCCCATTAGATCCCAGTTCTCACCTTCAAAAAGTAAGACGTAAACATCTTGCAAAGTCTCTGTGGAATGAGGCAACTTGCCAAACCAAAAAATAAATAAAATTTAAAAGTAATGACTGCGATTTTACTCTTGAATCTTGATTCTTTCTTGCTCAGTCTGAAGGAATAAATCTGAAATAGAACAAATGGGGCATACCCGGCCCATGCTCAGTAACCAGGCCATTGAAAGTAGACCCATCCATCTGCAAAAGGCTCTATGAGCTTGCCTTTATGGGAGAAAACTTTATTTGTGTTTTAAGAGAGAATGAACAACTATTTTTTTAAGTTGTGATATGACGTTCAAGGAAAAGTTTTTCTAGAAATTTGCCTCTGTGTAATTAGGCAGTCATTTAAGATAGGAAAATATTTCTTTAGATATTGTTTAATTAATTAATTAATCAATTAATATTTTTTAAAAAAATTGTTTCCCCACCTCATCCTTTTTGACAACCACCAGCTGTTCTCTGTATCTATGGGTCCGTTTCTGTTTTTGTGTATGAATTTATTTTTAGAGTCCACATATAAGTGAGATCGTATGGTATTTGTCTTTCTCCATATGACTTATTTCGCTTAGAATAATACCCTCTAAGTCCATTCATATTGCACAAATGTCAAGATTTCATTATTTTTATTTTTTAATTCAAGATTTCATTATTTCTTTATGGCACATTTTCTTTATCTATTCATTTATTGGTGAACATCAAGGTCACTTCCATATTTTGGCTATTGTAAATAATGTTCCAATGAATATAGAGACTCACATGTCTTTTCTAATCAGTGATTTTGTTTTCTTCAGATAAATACCCGGTATTTTTAAACAGCTGACATTCTAAATTGAATTATTCCTCCTAGAAGCCCAACTTCAACCAAACAATACACTCCTAAGAGTAACGATGTGGAGAAAAGCTTACCCTTTTCCTCCATGTATTCACAGTCCATCCACTTTCAAGCCAGTTGATGAATCTTCGAGATTAGTGGTTGGGAATAAGATCTTGAGGTTTCCTTTGAGAGGTGAAGCTATGCATTTTGCTGGATGCCAGTTCAGTTGCAGGACCTGAGACGATGCTGGTGGGGCATCAGCCTGCAGTGGAAAGTATGGTGAAAGAATCACTGGGAGGCTTGATGGGGCTACCCTGAAGGTGTTGCTTGAACAGGCAACCTCCTTCTAGTCTAGAAATGTATGAAGGCAAGAGTCTTGCTTTAATAGTTTGCCTATTGAAAGGGTCTATTTTGCAATTTGCCTATAAAGAAAAGTCACAGGGAGGAAAGAGGATCATCATCTCAAGTCCTGTGGTCTTAGGAGAGAAGAGAAGGGAAGAGGACTGCTTTTGATTCCCATGGGTTCCTTAAAAGGGCATGGAGATTAGAGGAAAGAACATAGGCTATAGGGTTATCCAGGTATCTTGGTCAAGTGAGATGACCTTTCACCTAACCAATAATGCTACACATGCTTTTTTGCTACTTTTGGTGGAAGGGAGGGCTGGGTCAAGCCCGTTGCCTGAATAACTGATTGTTCTTTTCATAATACCAGGTCATTAGTATTGTCCTCACTTATGAGCCCTATACCCAAAATCCTACTACATATTCACCTGTCTCACTGCCTTTAAAAAATATATATATATTTTATTGATTTTTTACAGAGAGGAAGAGAGAGGGATAGAAAGTTAGAAACATCTGTGAGAGAGAGGCATCAATTAGTTGCCTCTTGCACACTCCCTACTGGGGATGTGCCCGCAACCAAGGTACATGCCCTTGACTGGAATCAAACCCGGGACCTTTCAGTCCTTAGGCTGATGCACTATCCACTGAGCCAAACCGGTTTCGGCTCACTGCCCTGTTTTGATGCTACTAATGGCTTCCTGGTATCTGCAAGGCAAAATCTTAATTCCTGAGATCATAGTTATGGCATTTGGTCTTTACCTACCTTTCTAGCCTCATATATTATCCCTAATTTTTCTGAATTTAACCAGCTAGAACAACCTGGTACTATTTATCTTCTCCTGAAATAATGCTTTCATTCATTCAACAACATAACTCAATTGCCTTTCATGAACCAGGCATTCTTCTAAGCATTAAAGATATAGTAGGTAAGTCAGACATTCTTCCCCCTAACAGAAAGCTTATACCCTAATGAATAAGATATTTTGGTCTCAGTAAATTCTGTCCATGCTTCTTAAATTTGCTTCATTCCCTTATCTACCACAGATTAAATGTTACTTACACTGTGAAGCCCTTATTCAGGTAAGATAAAATGCTAATTGTCTGTTTACTCTGAATTTGTGGTTTGATGGAGCTGTGTCTCTATTACTTGATTATCTCCCCACCTAGTCTGAGATCTCATTAACCGGAGCTGTGTCATACCTCTCTGTGTATCTACAACATTTGGCTCATTGTGAGTACTTTTAAACTGCCTTATGAATGCCTCAATCTTATTGTCTTGCATTTAAATGCATTTATTTCTTTTAATGTTATTCTTGACCTTCACAAGAGAGGAAGGAAGAGAGAGAAACATCAATCTGAGAGAGACACATTCATTGGTTGTCTGCCACATATATCCTAAATAGGATCGAACCTGCAACCTAGGCATGTGCTCTGACCTGTACAGGGGAAGATGATGCTCCAACCAACTGAACCACACCAGCCAGGAAAAATATCTTTATTTCTTACTTTTGTAGTTTCTCAGGGATTATGTAATATCCAGAGACTTGGCAATCCAACTTTAGCTCAGAACAGTTACACAACCAAAAGATGCTATAAAGAAGTCTATTCCAAGCAGCATTGGTTGAATGATCTAACATATTTCTTTCTGTATCTAAACAGTGAAGCCATTCCTGTCTTTTGGGCCAAAAAAATAAAGTACATAGCACCCCAAATTACTCTCAAAATTAAGGATAAACAGCTGCCATCATTTTGAAAATTAAACCCATTTTGACCATCGGAAGCTTAATTCAATGCATATAAAAATAGAGCTATATATAGTTCACACAGACTTGCATGTTGCTAAGTTATAATCACTGAGTCACTGATTAAGGAGTGGCTTATAGTTAGGACTTGTCTTGAAAACAAGATTTTTCACCATCAAAATGGTTGTTTTCTTCAGTATTTAATAAAAATGAAACGAACACAAAGGGCAATTTATGACACTTTCAAAATCATCAGTTAAACTTAATGATCAACTTCATTAGGAAAATGAAAATAAGTAGGTACGTAGTTGATTGGAGTCCCAGACAGCCTCAGAATTGACAAGACACCAGCAGCATAGTTTCAAGCAACTGAAACTGGCATCAAAGTAGTGACAGTCTCAATCTGCCATTTTCCTGGCAGCCTAGCATGGCATGACAGTGGTAGAAGCAGCCAGTGGAATGGGACCCACAAGGAGAAAACCATGCAATAAGGTAGCAGCGATCTGTATATAAAATCTACAAAGCACCAGCAGAATAATGGCCAAGCCAGGAGATGACAACATGGAGGCATGACACAAGGCCAACTACATACTCACACACCCAACACCTCTGCTCCATGCATGCCTCCTGGTTCTCACACACAACACCGGAAACATGTCAGCAAATTAATCCTGAAATGAAAGAGATTTATTTTTACCAGTTGGTGCAATGTGTTTGATTTATAAATCAAGTTGACTTATAGGGAAAAAATTACATTTCTTGCATACCTGAATTTAGAAGCTGCTATGCAAATAAGTTGCACAATACTCCTGTGCATTTGTGTGTGTTTGTGAAGGATGTATTTCTAGAATTGAAATGCCAGGTAAAAATATGGTATCTTTCACATTTTGATAGATGCTACCAAAATGCCCTCTAAAGTTATATATAGTTTATTTTTCTACTAATAATGTATGATTGCCCTTTGTCTGATGCATATACCAATATTTATCAATAGCTTCTAAAGATTAATTTATCTAAAATATCTCCTTTAGTTTATTTCCACAGGAATATCTTTGCTTTGCTCCATAAAGGCCCTGCCCAAAGATAATTAATCACATTTAGCTCAGTTCCATTAAAACTCAATGTCATTAATTCATTTTTATCATCTATTTCCTTTGTTTTGAAGACATGTGGACTAGAGGTGAAGGATGATGGACTAAGATTCATTAGGCGAATACATCAAATCAGGCAATTTACAAATAAGATTTCTCATCTTAATAGCATTATGTCAGTGGTTCTCAATGAGTGGTGTCTAAACAAGCAGCTTCGGCTGGACCTGGAACCTGCGTTAGAAATGCAGATCCTCAGGCCCTGCTTCAGGAAATCTGGGGAGGGCCCAGCACCCTGTTTCCTCTTTTTATAAGCCCTCCAGGCAATTGTAACAAGCCCTCCAGGCAATTGTAACTTGGAAGCCACTGTATTATGTCCATTTCATAGATGAGGAACTTAACTAAAGAAGTAAGCACCTTGCTCAAGGTCATCAGCTGCATGAGGTTGGACTTCAAACTCAGCACAATTCTTTCTTCTAATATGGAGGTAAAACTTAATAAAATGCAGTAATGAGGGAAGTCAACATGGTAAAGTATGACAGTGCAGGACTCTGAGAAGACCAAGAAACAGCAAAAAGTCTGTGGATAACAGAGATTATGATCAGGTGGTTGCTAAGAGAAAACACCAGGGCCCTAAAACTGGGAGAGAGACACAGACTTTGCCGACACATCCATTGAGTCTGAAATTGACCCCGAGACTATGATTCCTGTTCTTATCACAAATATTCCAGAAATATGAAGCATAGGCAATATTCAAGGCAAAGGCCTATGGTATGGGTTAGAATTATTGTAATGCTAATTTTTAGTGAGATTGTCTGGGTATTTTTTTGTTATGGAGGTGTATGAGTTCTTTATATATCTTGAATATTAATTATTTATTAGATATATGATTTCTAAATATTTCCTCTCATTTAGTATGCTGCCTTTTAATTTTCGTAATGGTTTCCTTTGCTGTGTGGAAGCTTTTTAGTTTGATGTAGTCTCACTTGTTGATTGTTTTTGTTTTTCTTGTGATTAATTGGAGTGTCAGATTTAAAAAGTCATCAAAAAGACCTATGTCAAAGAGCTTACCACCTATGTTTTCTAGAAGTTTTATGATTTCAGGTCTAACACCCAAGACTTTATTTCATTTTGAGTTATTTTTTTTGTATGGTATTAGATTTCTTTTTCATGTGGCTGTCCAATTTTCCCCATACCACTTTTTAAAAATCTTTTACCATTATATATTTTTGGCTTAGATAAATGTAATTAATTAAATATGAAAGACCTACAAAAAACAGCATGCATGTTAAATACACACACACACACACACACACACACACACAAGCAAACTTTTTTAAAAGTCTGTTCACATTGTTCATGTAGCTCTTCAGTATTTAATGAAAACTGATTATTTAAAGACTGAAATTTATTATGTAAAGTGATTTTTAGAGATCTAATGGCCTATTATTATAGACCTTTAAATATAGGATATTTTCAGGAAATATAATAATTTAAGGAGAAAAATAGTTATCGATTATGATATAGAAAATTTTAATATCAAAGAGCCAGGCATCTCATTTCTGCTTATAATGTGCAGCACAGTCCTGTCACATAAGGAAACTTCCAGTTCATTTTGACTCACACTTTTCTTATAGTACATATTCTTGATAGATCATTGACCAGGTCTATTGTTATTCCCATAATATTTACAAATAAATTATTAAACTATAAGCTAGACCCTATTTTAGCTTGGAAAGAAAATAATACTTTTGGTGTTGTACCTATTTGTGTTTTATTAATAAATAAAATTCCTTAGGGGACTGTTATGCGCGTGGCCTGTTTACCTTATAGAGTACTTGCTCTGCGCCACAGATATAAATTGTGATTCATCTACTTTCCTGTGCATCGGTATGAAGGATTCACTTGAAGACTAAATCTAGTTCAAGTATTACAGGATTCCCTTAGTAATACTTACTAAATCACCATCAGAATGTTGTGTGCTGGGAATTCTTCTCTAGTAGGAGGAAAGGAGTTTTTATTAGCTCTGGCTTCCTTGTGACCAAGATTATTCATTGGTAAGATTGAGATTTCAATGCCTGGTTAAGGCTTTTGTATATGGCCAGTGAGCAGGAAAAAAAAAAAATCCTGTAGTGCTGATAATATAGCAAAAAAAAAAAAAGTGGCAAAATTGAAAGAAGACAAATTTACTCTGTACTGGAATCAGGGCATCTTTGTCTGAGATGATTATTAGTCACCGCAATGTATTGCTTTATTTATTTATTTATTTATTTATTTATTTATTTATTTATTTTTAAAGGAGAAAATACTACAGGTTTTGTTTTGGTCGCAGAAGTGTATGGGAAATAGAGGGTAAAAGGCTTTTATTTGGGCAGAGAAGAGAGTTCAGTGTGACTCATTGTTAAGTAAGAGAAAATTGGTTCTATCAGATGTAGACTTTCCCTAGCTTGCTTTGCTTGCTCACATAGAAATATAACTCAGACTGTATATGGCCACTAACTTACTTGATTCAAAAATGCAATCTTGGGAATAGGACCCAATGGGTGGATGATCCCTAATTCAAGAGCCCTTTAAATCTGAAAGTAGGGTAAACACAACTTTGACTTCTTATGATGTATTGGGGTAGCCATTAAAGGTATCCTGGGTTGACTTTTAGAGAAAGGCAATTATTTTCTTTGTTTGACAAACCATAAGCATCCAGAAAAATGCGGAAAGTACTGTGCATATTAGATTGGAGTCCAGTGGTTCTCAACGTTAATGTGCATCAGAATAGGCTAAAGGGCTTGTTAACCAGGGGTTTCTAGGACAGACTACCAGAGTTTCTGGTTCATTTGGTCTGGAGTGGGTCCCAATAATTTGCTTTCCTATCAAGTTCCCAGATATGGCTGATAATCTGAAAACTACTGGTGTAAGGAAAACAGTTTGGGTTTGGAACTGAGATTACTACTTCCAAATCCTAACAATCAACTGTCGAGTACTCTTGGATAAATCACTAACCTTTCTGAGTTATAGTTTCTTCTTTCTAAGTTATGCATGATGGTAATAACACCAACTTAGTGAGGTTGTCCAGAATTGTTGGGAGGACCAAATGTGGAGATGCAGGTAAATGTCTGTGAATGTTGGTTAATAATGTGCATGTGTGATGGTTACCTTGATGTGTCAACTTGACTGAACTAAAGGATGCCCATATAACTTGGTAAAACATAATTTGTTGGTGCATCTGTGAAGGTGTTTCCAAAAATATTAGCATTTGAAACAATAGGCTGATTAAAGATATTTTTCCTCACCAATGTGAATGGACATGATCTAATCCATTGAGGACTTGAATAGAACAAAAGAATGGAAGAATGGCAAAGTCTCTTTCTCTTCTTGACCTGTGATGTCCATCTTCTCCTAGCCTCAGAATTTGGAGCTCCTGGATCCTGGCCTTCAGACTGGAATTGCATTACATCATCAGCCTTTCTGGTTTTCCACCTTGCAGACAGCAGATTGTGTGACTCCTTGGCTTCCAATATGCAATTCCTAGAACAAATATCTCTCTCTCCTTTCCATCTATTGGTTTTGTTTCTCTGGAGAATTCTGACTAATATAGAATGCTTATCCACCACCCCCCCCTATTTTCACAGTTAAAAACAAAACAAAACTCCTCCATCCACAAATTTATCTCCAGATGGCTCCTGCTTTGCTTTTCTAGGGACTGATGTAATCCCAAGTATATGAGCAGTCTAGCACAATAATAAATTGTAAATTCTGGTTTTGGTGACCTACCCAATAGCCATTTCTTCCCTTTTCTTCTTGTTAACAGAAAATTAATTTTGTTTAAATATGAAGTATCTTTGTGCTCAAATAAGAAGAGTTCCTCCTCTAGCCCAAGGATATGAATAATGATTGGTCTAAGCCCATCTTGGTAACCTTGGTTTTCTCTCACATGAATAATGCTGAGAGAGTCAAATTTAAACATTCAACATTTATTTACTTATTCTTGGTATAGGGATGTGAATACGAATAACAGTAACTAATAGTTCTAAATCAGAGGCCTATAGCTAATAACACAAATAATTTCTTCCATGAAGTAAGAATAATGTGTGCAATAACATTATGAAATTGGAATCCTAACCCATTGTGAGGGGAGAGATAGACAAGAGGTACCTAGGAAGATTTCTGTGAGGAAGGGATATAAGCTTAGAGTTAGGGCTGGATGGGATTGTATAAAGACTATGAAATAAGATTTGTACATTCCCTAAACTAGAAATATCAAATGGGGTCATAGCATAGAAGTGTTATAATGGTTATGTTCGGAGTTTCAGACTTTAGCCAAAGAGAAAAATGGGAAATCACTGAAGGATTTCGGCATCAGTCAGAACAGCAGATTTGCATTAAAAATATTATTCTGGCCACCCATGAAGAATGAATTGATCTGGAGCCAACTGGACATATATGAAGCCCATAAACAAGCATTGCAACAAGAGAAGGTCACAGCTTGGACTAGGGCTTCTCTGTACAATGTAATAGACACTAGCTACCTGTGGCTACTAAGCACTTGAGATATGGCTTGTCCAAATTACAATGTGCTATAAGTATAA